TGACTTGGTAAACGAGAATGAATTATATTAACTATATTTGTATTTATTATATATGTTGCGGGGATCAAATCTTGTTATCAATTGGGAAGTTAGGTGCAATGCATCTTATAATATTTCTCTTCTAATGATTACTTGATAAGCATTTTGGCTCTCCTAAGTTACTGGGAACTTAGGTGATGTCCCATTTATAATGTTTATAGTTATTCTTGAGCATGTTCTCAATTCATGGTTGGTGAACTAATGAGAAGAAGTTAAATTGATATGTAGTACAGATAAGACACCAATGTCAGATTTGCCATACTTTCTTGACTATCAAGCACACAAGCTTTGGGCTCATGTTCACAATGATCTTCCTCTTGGTCCAAGTACAAACATCACATTTGTTTAACCTTTTCTCACACTCAACTTGATGGGTCCCAAACTTTATGTAAACACTGATAAGGTACTTTCATTTCAAATCTATTAGTCTTTGATTTCATGTTCTTTATTCATATATGCTAAATTTTCTTAATCAATCATAATAGGTTACAGTTGGCAAAGACCAATCACCGGAATGCGACAGATTTGCCATACATGTAGAACATATATTAAACACTTAAAAAATGCTTAGCAATAAAATCGAGGACACGACAATATTGTCGGACGAAATAAGAGATAGGCTTTGGAGGAATCGAATTGGAGGAATCGAAGTTCTCCAAACAACTTTTAGGTTTTGATTATAATGTTTTGTTTTGCTGTCATAGGCTTTGGATGAAGAATGATAATTCTTCAAAGAGATGCACAACTTTTCCTGCTACAATATCTACAATCTCCCATTCTTCAACTACTCCATGGTGCATGCTATAGGTAAATATATGCTTTCTTCTTTTTACTTTATTATAATATTTCAAATGCATAAATATTTTTTGCTTCATGAAAGTAGTAGCTTGGTATTAAAATATTAATATTTTCATCTGATTATTATAGGTTGAATGGGATTATCCTAAAGTCTCGAAGAATCTAAAGCGTGTAAGTCTGTGGCAGGTGGAATCTGTTTTTAGCATACCTCCACTGTATCAACAATTCCTCCCAACAAAAAGGATAAGATCTGCTCAAGGATCTACCATATTAAGTGATAAAGAAGTTTCTTCTATTCCAATGGAACCCTTGAACCATACACTATTGAATTTTGATGACATGCTGAGAGTTAGTTAAAATCATTTTTCTGGATCCACTTCTTTCAACTTTTTGAAAGATAGTTCATTTGAGAATAATTCAATGGTGGCGTCAAATAAAGTTTCAATTGAGCATATATCTGATAACCATAGTGTTTTGAACTCCTTCGTAGAATCAAAATAGTTAAGCCTGGTTCAATACTATTATTTAGTCTAATTATACACTCTAGTGAAAGTTGTTTGGATGATTCTTTTATTAAACGTGCTGATGATTGTGAGAATGCAATGAGGTTGAAGATACTATCAAATATATTGCAGAAAAATAGTTAATAACTTTTTAGAATATTGTCATGTAGATAATAATATAAACATGTATGCTAATTGAGTTGAAATTTTAGTATTGAAATGATGAGATCATTTACTATAAGTTATAACAATGTTATTTTAAAATGCAAATGTCAAAATCTTTCTCTAGAGATGACCTAATGTGTTCAATATTATTTTATAACAATAGTATACAGAACGTTCATATTTTACAAGTTTCAAATTTAGAATATGGTTTAAATTTAAAGATTTGATTTAAATTAATCTAATGCATGGTTATGTTCACATGTCAAGCATCATGTCATGACCAATTATTTATAGTGGTAGAAACTAAGGTTGGTAGATTAAAGATGAAACACAGGGTCATTTATGTTTTTATGTTGTATTCATATTTATGATATTTTTATGTTTTTGTAAATGTTTATATTGTACGAATGAACTTATAATTTTGTGTTTGATAATATATAAAAATATAAAATTTTATCATCTTTATATTCATATTTTTTGCTATAAAAATGCAATATATATCTAAAATATTAACAAAATTCATTCCTTTTAAATTAACATCATAGTTTAGAAATTGAAAAATTGATTTATAGTTAAATAAATTAAATCTTTAAATAAAACAGATATTTCTATTAACAATAAATTGTTTATTATGATGAAAAAATTTGTGTATATTAATAATAATAAAGACAAATTATAATAGATTATAATGTTACAGTAACTTTATTTGTAAATTGGAAGTACTTATATATTTTTTTTTACTTAAATAAATTTTTACTAGTAGTTTGTTACTTCAATAATACAAGCAAATCAGAAAAAATTGATTAAACTCATAATTTAAATTAAATTGAATTAAAAAAAATACCATTTTTGTTTGATTTAAAAACCGAAACAAACCAATAAGAATAAAAATGAGAGATTTTGTTCATTTTTTTTTAATTTTTAAAAACTATCAAACCGAACCGATGACTATAGTTATTCACTTTATTTTTTATTGAGTCTAAATTTTGTACAAGTCTAACTCTTCATATTTGCTTACACTTTCTTCTTTTAAACAAAACACGCAACTAGAAACCAAATTTCAATTATAAAAAGTAAAAAATTTAAGTCACAAAAACCTTATTTGTTGGAGTTGGTTGAAAATATACATGTTGAAGAAGTCTCACATCACTTATTTTTGTAAAGGAAAAGGAAGTCAAAGACTATATATAGAATTAAAGTTTTTCCAAATCCTACATCCATTAGTTTAATGAATGAAGAAGGAGTCCAAATCTATATATAGAATTTAAGTTTTTCTTTACAAGATACACCAGTCAAAGACACTTTTTAAGTTTGTATTTGACTTTTTCTTTTCTCTTATGCTCTTGTGTTGGAGTATGGTGAAATATAGTTAAATATTTATTTTGGAGAACGTGAGTGTATTGGGGTCGTGGGGTAGTTGAGAGTAAAAGATGTGTTGTAACAATTTTCACATAGTATTATTCTTTGGTTGTCATTTGACAACGACCGTGATTTTTCTCCAATTTTAGAGTTTCCACATTATATCCTTGTGTTGTTATTTTGTTCCTCTTTTTTTCTTTATTTTGTTTTTTTCTTTCAATAATTGATATCCGAGTCTAGTTTGATAAGGGGATAAGTGTTCTTAGTATGCTATGTGGGTGTAGCTTTGTCTGATCTTCCATATCGGAATAGAAGGTTATTATTGTGAAAGAGTTGTTGTGCTGCAGTCACATGTTTTGTTGTGCAGATTGGACTAGAGAAAATTGATAGAATAATTTTTTTAACTTGTGCAAAGTTCAAGTCAGAGACGTGTTGATTCAATCAAAATTACACAAGGTGCAAGATTATATCGATGGTTGAAGAACTTCCTACCAACATAGAAATTTCACCATAAAGTTTCAACCTGATTTTCGGCATGTAAAAGTTTTTAAAATGGTTTAACTTCAAGTGAAGTATACTCTTCAAGATTAAAACTAGTTTTGTTATATAATAATTTTGATTTGTGATTAAAATGAGAAAGATAGTGATATTTGTGTATTGCAACCTTCGATTATTATTGTTGTATATGTATTAATTATAATTTATAAGTTTTTTGAAAAAAAATCTATAAATAAAATTAATTATATAAAATATATTATTTAAAAAAATAATAATTAAGAAAAACATAAAAAGACATGATAACAGAAAAGATAAAGATAAATATAATATTTATTTATTTTTTAAAATTAATCATCAAATTAAACTGAAACAAATCAAATTAAATTAATTAATTTAATTTGATTCTAATTTTAAAAAATACTTAAAAATCTAATTAAAAACTAAATCGATAAAAATATCATTGATTCAAATATATTTTTAACTAAATATAAGTTCAAATTGAACCGATGGTATCAATAATTTAAAATCCGCCACCAATCTAATTAAGTAATTGAGTTTTAGATTAATGGTCGAATCAATAAATCACTGATCACACCACATAAATTTTAATAATGTGAAAATATAATTTTATTTTTATTTTGTAATATGATTTTTTTTAAAACTTTTATTAGTTTAAAGTATTATTATATTTTATAATTAATTTTTTAATATTTTAAATTTATTATATTATTATATTATCTAATTAATAAGAAATAAATTTATTGAGAATTTTAGTGTTGTAATTATAGAATATATAACTTTCTTCTTTTTAATCAAATTAAACGTCACATAGATTCATATTACAGCTAATAAAACTCTAATTTTAATAATTTTAAAATGTTTTTAGAATTTTAATATTATTTAATTATTAGATATAATAAATATATTATGAATATTAATAAAATCAAATTTTAAAATCAAGACACTAAAACTTTAAAAAAAAATGAAAATGAAAAATAAAAATTATAATTAAATTAAAAAAGATATAAAAAATCAATCCGTCAAATCTATTAATTCACATGTCTTATTAGTGAATTCACCAAATCACATTAATTTTTATTAAATCAATCATAACAATGATTCAATGACTCTATCAAAAATCCGCCACAGTCGAAGTATTACAATTTTATGTGCTCTAAAATGACCACATATTTTGACGGTCATCCCAATTTAAAGTTAAGATTAGTATATTTTACATTCTATTTTAGATATTAATCCAAATCAAATCTCTCCAAAAACACTAGTGGTTGACGATATCAATTGTTAACACACACCCACGCTCAAAACCGAGCGAGTGAAACCACGACCCGCGTTTAGAAACACCCACGAATGTTCATCTGCAACATCACCCAAACGTGTGGTCGGCTCCGTTAACTCAACACTACTACTTCCTCCCTCGCCGTTAACTATTCAAAATATCTCACCGTTACCGTCACCGTCACCGTTAACACTGTCTTTATCATAGTCGGTCTATATATATACGCATACGCATCATTGAAATTCAATTTTATAAAAACATCAAAAACCGAACCTACTTTCTTCCCAAAATAGCAAAGAATTTAACACAAACAACGTTAATAATTTTGTAATCGCACAAATTCATAACCTTAGTTTGAACGGACACAAATTTCTCAATAGTCGGCGCTGAAATTTTTTTAAGGTAACTTCCTTTCCTTTTCCAAACATATGTTTGTATGCTTTCTCATCTTGATTTTTCTTCATTTGAAAAAAATAGCTTATTGAATTAATTGCTTTTAAAGTAAATTTAGCTTGTTTTGTCATTAATAATTTGGTATGGATGTCGATAAGTCGGTTTAGAATTAAGTGATTTCTGGGTTTGGAACAATTTTTCATATGGAATATTGAAATTCACCAACCAACTTATTGGTCAAAAACTGATTTTGGAATGAGCACCGACATAGAATTTTAGTTCTGAAGTCTGAACTTGTTTAAGGTTTACCAAGTTTCTTAATTTTCCTTTATTTTTATGATTATGATTATTCATTTTCCATGTATGTGTTTACTGTTATTGCAGGTTTATATGCTATTGTTGAAACTATTGGGCTGAATTTTCGTGAGGCTGATGCTTGATTTCTGATTAGTTAAGCCGGTTATTGATTTCGTCATCTCGCGCATAAGCATAATCATCTGATTCGAGATCGAAGTATGGATTCACAGCAACTTTATAGTTTCAATATGACAAGTGCAGGATTACCCAACATGTCATCTTTTTCCACTATTCCACTACAGAATGGTTTGCTTGGTTCCTTGAAAGTTGGCATTGGAAACTCACCTGATTCGCCTTTTTCATCTCATTTTGATTCGGATACTCTTTCTGCATTTGGTGACAATTATGAGCAGCAGAACTCGGGTGAAACGCTCTCTGGTATAAGCGTCTCGTATAACTCAGCACTGGAAACCAACCGTTACTTGCAAAGATCGGTTTCATCGGTCGACAATCTCAAGGAAAATTTGCAATTATATTCAGCTAGACGATCTCTTCCGCCGAGTTGTAACCAGATAGTCCAACACGCCTTGTTGGAACTAGAAACTGCGCTGATGGCTCCGGATGATAACGAAGTTACCACATCTAATTCTTCATTTGGTGAGAGCATCAAGGAAACGGCATCTGGACCGAGATATAGATCATGGGGCCATGTGAGCCAAGGGTCACAATACATTCAAAATCAACCATCACATGCTACTAGCAGTAGTAGGCAATCAAATGAAGTTGTGCATGTAGAAAAACGTCGAAAGTTGGAGGAGTCGTCTCTACAAGGGTTCCCATCAGGTGATTTAAAGCAATTACTGATTGCATGTGCCAAAGCCATGGCTGAAAACGACACACAAGATTTCAACCGGTTGATAGAAACGGTTAGAAATGCTGTGTCTATCAACGGGGAGCCAATTCAGAGGCTCGGTGCTTATATGATAGAAGGGCTTGTTGCAAGGAAGGAAGCGTCGGGGAATAGCATCTATCGTGCTCTTAAGTGTAGAGAGCCTGAAGGTGAAGAATTACTCTCCTACATGCATCTGCTTTACGAAATATGTCCCTACTTGAAATTTGGTTACATGGCTGCGAATGGAGCCATTGCCGAAGCTTGTAGGAATGAGGATCACGTACACATCATCGACTTTCAAATTGCTCAAGGAACTCAATGGATGACACTTCTTCAAGCTCTTGCTGCAAGACCTGGCGGGGCTCCCCATGTGCGTATCACAGGAATCGACGATCCAGTCTCTAGATATGCTCGTGGAGAAGGACTAGAAGTAGTCGGGAAAAGATTGGCCTTGATGTCAAAGAAATTCGGCATCCCAGTTGAGTTTCACGGGCTCTCCGTTTTCGGTCCCGATGTTACAAGAAACATGCTCCATATCAGACATGGAGAAGCTTTGGCTGTGAATTTTCCATTGCAACTCCATCACACGGCTGATGAGAGTGTTGATGTGAATAATCCAAGAGATGGACTTTTGAGATTGGTGAAATCTCTCTCTCCGAAAGTGGTCACACTTGTCGAGCAGGAATCAAACACAAACACAACCCCTTTCTTCAACAGGTTCATAGAAACTTTAGATTACTACTTGGCAATCTTCGAGTCAATCGATGTAACCCTCTCGAGAAACAGCAAGGAGAGGATTAACGTGGAGCAGCACTGTTTAGCTCGGGATATCGTCAATATCATTGCTTGTGAAGGAAAAGAAAGGATCGAGCGGCACGAACTGTTCGGCAAGTGGAAGTCAAGGCTGACAATGGCCGGATTTACTCAATGTCCTTTGAGTTCTTATGTGAATTCTGTTATAAGAAGCCTTCTGAGATGCTATTCGGAGCATTATACATTAGTGGAGAAAGATGGGGCCATGTTGTTGGGGTGGAAGAGCAGAAATTTGATATCAGCTTCAGCTTGGCATTGATGAAACATATAGAGATAAGAAATAGTATAATAATAATTGTAGAAATAACATGAAGATGGAAGCCACAAGGTTTGTGTTGTTTTCCAGTGCTATGTATTATCGTTGTCTTAAAGGTCTATGTTCTTTAAGAATGTCCATAAAGAGAGTATCATGTAGTAGTTATGTAATAATATTGATTCTTTTAATAGTATGTTTCTTTGGTTTTGTAGATGTTGATATATGAAATATGCTACTTTGCTTCCATTCCAATCAAATTGTGAATCACAAATTCTGAACTTACTAGCATATCTTGTCTGATAAAAGTACTTGTGGTACCAAACCATGGAGTGTGATCAAGTTCATGTTGATCAAAAAGAGAAAAGGGGATTAACTAAATCTCTAACTAATAGGAAGATATAACAGTATCTATTATATTGTTTTTTATAGTTCATACACTACACAGTGGTTGTCATGGATTTATACTATGATTATCTTGAACTTCTAGAGACTGTTGGCTGCTTTTTAGATTTTTAGATTTTTTAGATTTTCAAGAAATGAGGGAATTGCCAAGAAAGATGCAATATATTTACAGAACACATGGCTCAATCTGAATTCGAGAACTCTTTGAGTCGAAGAGTTATAGTTGCTAAACCTTTTATGATAGAGAATATTTAAGGTATCTTAGGACACGAATTGCAACTTCATGATGAAGGTTTGTAGGGTTATTCATGTGTTGGATCAATTGTCAAACATTATAACAAATATGGGTCTGTATAGAGAAGTTACATGAGCTGACCAACTAATCTCCTATGTATTATGTTGTTGGATCTTGTAATGCGTCTCCCCTATCTTAGAAAATCTTGTTTCTCTTGCTATTGGTGTTGATGATATGAAATATCAAATATTTTTGGGTTAAATGTCTTATATTTTCTATCATATAGGCGTGTTTTGATTTACCCCATTTAAAAAAAAATTGTGATTCTCTCTTCAACATTTTTATGAAGGCCAAACGCTCAACCACTAGACCAATAGTTTTTATTTGTAAATGAAATTTCTCAAATTGTATTTATAAAAATCCATTAGCATTTATTGTAATTCAATTGCAATTTAGCTGTTTTTCTTTATTTAATTTTAATTGCGGGCAGCAACGAACCATCTTGCATGAAAGATTTTAGATATCTATCATCATTCCGTAAAGGTTTAATAATATTGAAGTCAATTACATCATGCAAGTGATTCTGCAAATCATGTTTGGACTGGAAAGTTAACTCACAATTTCAACAACTATTCTCTAATACCTGGTTGTAAAAAAGAAGAACAAATCAAATGTAAGTAAAGTCACGCACTTACTGTCACAATTGAAAATCAAGTAAGCATAAAAATGATTTTGATATTCAGTTCAGGTTCTACATAGCATAATTGCTTTGGATTCCAAAATTCATTAACTGAAAATCGATTTTCATCACTTAGAACTTCCCAAAACATTTGTATGATCCATATTGATTTCATTCAAATCTTTAAATTGGTAAAAGCACAAAATAACCAATATTGAACCCCTAAATGTTTGTTTCTCCAACTCAGACGGTGAGTTGTTCTGACACCTACTTGTTTCTTTTCTTTTTCCGGTGAGCAACGAAGGTTAAAAATGTGCACGATTGTTGTTGGATGGTTGCAGATTTGAACAAGGATTTTCGGTGGCAGCTTCAGGACTAGATTTGCTCTCCTTCTTCGGTTTCTTTTCGTCTTTCATTTTTATTGTTAATTTGTTGAGTGTTTGATGTGGAAAATTTTAGAATAATGATGGAGTAACTGTTTTTTTATTGGCTACTATGAGAGAATGGTCTGTCAATTTGGAAAAGAAGATTAAAGAAAGATTAGGGATTTGAAATTTGAGAAGAAGATTAAATAATTTTAATATTAATTAATTTTGAGGTAATTAAGTACAACATGAACATGGATGGTGGAGTGGTTGAACATTTGAAATATGAGGCAAGATGCTTGGGTTTGAATCCTTGGAGAGACAATTTTTTTAGATTTTTTTCATATGAATTTCAAATAATATTGACATTGTCGTTAATAATATAAAAAAAATCCACTTGGACACCACGTAGGAAGATTTTCTTGTACAGTCAGCGTAATAGTAACAATGTTTTTGGAGATGGAATTTTGATTTTGTAAAGGGGGAATCACAATTTTTATCTTAAGGGGGGATAAATCAAAACACGTCTATATGACAAGGGTAAGGTATTTAACTCATTATTTTTTAAATATTTTGGACTTATCGGGTTTGAACTTGATATTTGAACTTGAGAGATGGTGTACTGATATAATCCGTAGTAGCACAAACTCGCCTTGAATCAACTAGACCAACCATCCGCTTTAGAGCTCGTTGAACCTTTTGAGAGTGCTTGAGTTGGAAAATCCCAGAAAAAAGAATACAATAGTGATGGCATAAAGATGTAATTGTCGTAACAAATATAAACGACCACAACAGTAAAAGTCATGAATATATGCCGCATACTTACCTCCCATACAAGAGAGGAATATAACATTGAAAGAAAATAGTTATCTAATAGAAGCTTGAAGGCCAGGATAGGCGTTTTTGGCGTTGGCGACCTCTGGTGGATACTTGACCGATATTAGCTTGTCTTTGATTTCCACCAATTTCTCTAATTCTTCTTTAGGAATTTTATAACCCGAAGCAATCTGAGCTAAATCATTAGCCTTTTGATTCTCCATGTGAGGAATATGCTTATTGACACGTTATCGAACTTATTCAATAAGGACAAGGATGTGGTGAAGTACATCACCAAATTGTCTTTAACGCACTTAAATTTTCTATTCACTTGTCGCACAACCAATTTTGAGTCGCCTTTTACCACAACATCTCTTGTCCCCAGATCCAACAAAATTAGAAGTTTGGTTATCAAGGCTTCGTGTCCAATCTCATTGTTAGAACACTCTTCTTTAATTTTAAACTTGAATTTGTTGGGAGTCTTTTCTGAAGACATGATGAAAATACCCATCCCTGTTCCATGTTTATGTTTGGAACCATCAAAGTACAATTGCCAAGGTCTCGTACTTATGTAATATTTTGTCGTCTCGACCACTGAATGGTAGATAATAAAATCTGCGACAATTTGACCTTTTACAACTTTTAATGGGACATATGTAAGGGAGTATTCTGTTAAGGCTAAGGCCCATTTACCGATGCAATTGTGCAAGATTGGTTTTGATAACATAGGTTTAATAATGTAAAAATGGGAATAAACAGAAACCTCAACTGGTTTTATATAATGCTTAAGTTTGTTACATGAAAAATGCAAGCAAAAACATAACTTTTATATAGTATTATATCTAGTCTCAGCATCGTTCATAATGCGACTAAGGTGGTAAATGGCTCTTTCGACGCCATTGTCATCCTTTTGGGCTAACATACTCCTTAATGTCGAGTATGACGCTGAAATATACAATTTCGTATATTTTTTTTCTTCTAGGTGGTAACAAAATGGAAAGCTTAACTAAATATTCTTTGATTTTTTCAAAAGCCTCTTGATGCTCTTTGTCCCATCGAAACTCATTTTCTTCCCAAGTCGAAGCAATGGAGAGAATGCCAATGTTTTTCCACTCAAATTCGAGATGAAATGCCTCAAGAAATTTATCTTTCCCAACAAAGATTGAAGTTGCTTCTTTTTCGAGGGAGGCTTGGTGACCAAAATAGCCTTGGTTTTGTTCTGATTTATCTTGATGTCTTTCTTGTGCACCACAAAACCTAGAAAATCTCCTGCACGAACACAAAAAGTATATTTTAAAGGATTCATTTTTAATCCATATTTCCTTATCCTTTCAAAGGACTATCGAAGATGGTCTAAATGAATATTTCTCGACGAGGATTTTACAACAATATCATTGATGTACACTTGCATGAATGTGTCAATAAATTCCTGAAACATTGAATTCATATATATTTGATAAGTTGCCCCAACATTTTTCAAGCCAAAGTGAATTACTACCCATTCATAGGTTCCTAAGGCATCTGGGCATCGAAATTCCATTTTTGGTATATCTTCTCCAACAATAAATATTTGATTATAACTTGAATATTTGTCTAACAGACTTAGATATTTATGTTCTACGACTGAGTCGACCAACATCTCTGCCACAAACATGGGATATTTGTCCTGTGGAGATGCATTATTTAAATCCCTAAAATCTATGTGAATCCGAAGACTCCCATTTTACTTAATAACATGTACTATATTTGCTAGCCATTCAACATACATGACAATCCTGATGAACTTGCTCTTGAGTAGCCATTCAATCTCTTCTTTTATCTTCAACAAGATCTATGGTACAAACCTCCTGGGCATTTTTTTCACTGGCTTCTTCCCGGGTCGAATTGACAATTTCATCTCCATCATATCTTGACTCAACCCGGGCATCTCGTTGTAGTCCCAAGTGAAATAATCCTTGAATTCCTTGAGCATTTCTACCACTTTTTCCTTTAGGTCTGGATCAACCTTGGCGCTAATATAAGTTGTCTGTTTAATCTTGTCATTGCCTAAATCCATTTCCTCTAAAGGGTCTTACGCCTGCATTTTAAGAGTGAAATACATTGGGTCTTTTTCAAACCCGAAAGGCTTGTCATCATAAATACAATCGAGCCTCAGACTTTCCGAAGTTGTTGGTTGGACACAATGGCCATTTCTTTCAGATTGTTCAACTAAAATGGCTTCTGGTGCCATGTTTTGCAAACTCTAGCCTCGAAGGCTGAATTTTAACATGTTTTCATCTAAGTAGGCCGAAATCATTTCCAGAGCATTCAACTCAGGCATCATCATCATTGTTATTTTCCAACCTGGGCATCAGATTGATATCCTTTGGTGCAAAGTTAATGGGACTGCACCTATCCCATGAATCACTTCATGTCCTAACAGTAAATTATAATAGGCCTCAAACGCTATTAGCATAAACAATGTTGGCCTTATGGTAGTTCCAACTAATAACTTCACTTGTATCAC